AACAACAACAGATGAAAATTCACAGCAACATCTGGAAAGCTAGATCAGCCCCCACCCCCACTCTAGCCATAGCAATAAAAGGAGCTTTTAGAAAATGTGATCTGGTGCCTTTATTCCCTCCTTCCAGGTAGGGAGCCTGGCTGAGGTCGGGAGACGTTATTCCCTCTGCAGGTGGAGGCTTTGAGCTTTTATGGGGCCCCTCCTTCTCATGGCAGGCGTTCCTCTTTTCTTACTGCCTCCAACTTTTCTTCACTTTACAGAAGGACCCCCATATCCACGGGGCATCAGTCCCTCCCTACAGATAATGAAAAACACGGATGATAGAGAACACCATACATAGCGTGGTCTCTGTCTCCTCTAGCAGCCAGTGTTAGGAACTTCACCTTTAAAAATATCTACAGTGGTGCCTCCCAAGACAAATTTAATTCGTTCCATGGTTAATGTTGTCTTGTAAAATGCGTTTTTCCATAGGAATGCATTGAAATCTAATTAATGCGCTCCTATGTGCAAAAAAAGTCAGAACAAAATCAAAATTTGGTTTACAAAGGGTTTATTAAGTGCTCTTTAAAGCCATACATATTGTGCAGATGATTTCAAAAATTTCAATCAAATTTTTTGAACTTTTTAAGCATCATAGAAAACCATTTAAAAATCAGCAAACATGAGGCAGGAACATCTGCCTTCACTGAAACTGAACAGAAACAGTCACTAACAGTCCTTGGATTGTGCAAAACTCTCCAGAAAGTGCATATTCAAGGCATGTAAACATACAGAAACCAACAGTACCGAAACTTTTTACATTTCACATTTTAAAGTGAACAAGTGAGGCTGAAGTCTTTAAACCACCATGACCAGTGTTTTAAGTCAGGAAACTGGAGGCAGACAGAACTGTCTCCACATCACAGCAGCAGGGTCTCTCTGGGGATGGCCCGAACGATGGTCAACTGGGAGAAGGCTTTAAGGCGTGACCTCAAGGCTTCTAGGAGGAAGAGGAGGAAGAAGGCAACTGGGCACGGCTGGTAGAAGCAGCAGGTTCTTCTTCCTGTTTTGGCCTCTTCGTGAAGAACCTCTCTATGGTCAGCTGCTTCTGCCGCCTTTTCAGCATCCCTCTGAAAGGGGACATGATCCTTTCGTCATATGTGTTTGAAAGGTCATGTGCCAGAGCCTTGTCCGGGTGGTACCACCGTGCTTGAGTCTGCACATTTTGCCACTGTTCTAAGATCTCCTTCAGTTTAGTGGTGGACAGCTGTTCCTTGCCTGGCTCTTCTTTCTCTTCCAAAGAGGCCTGCTCCTCCATAGCCTCTGCCTGCAGTTCGACCAGCTCCTGGGTGGACAGCTCCCGGTCGTGGCCCTCCACCAGCTTGCAGATGTCCTCCTCTGTGACCTCGAGGCCCATGGTCCTCCCCAAGGCAACAATGTCCTCCATCACTGTTGACTCTGGTGCAGGCGCAGAAGCAGCCTCTCCATGCCTGACCACGCTGTGGATTCCAGATCTGGTTTTGAAGCGTTCAAACCAGCCTCTGCTTGCCTTGAAGACTTCTGGCTCAGCTGAGGTGCCTGGCTCTTGCTGCACAAGGTCTGCGTGCAAGGCCTTGGCCTTCTCACGAATGACAGCCTCAGTCACTGGGTCCCCTGCACGCTGCTTCTCTTCCATCCAGATGAGCAGCAACTTCTCCACCTCCTCCAGAACAGCTGGCCGGTTCTTCACCATCCTGGTGACACCTTTGGCTACATCTGTTGCAAGGATCTTCTCCCTCATTTTAAGGATGGTAGCGATGGTGGATGGATTCCTCCGGTACTCCCTAGCGAGGTCTGTCACTCGCATGCCTCTGTTGTGCTTCCTGATTATCTCCTTCTTCATCTCTACAGTAATCTTCTCCTTTGTCATCTTCCTGGCCTCTGCAGAAGCAGCCTTCTTGGGACCCATGTCAGTACAGCTGCTACCTTCACAAAAACAAAAGGCAGTGCTTCACATTCGCTTCACACATTCCTTCCCACCCGTGGCCAAAACTGCCCCTCAACACAAGCTAAGCCCCCTACCTTTCTTCTGCAACTTACAAAAAAAAAACACATAAAATTGGCACAACACCCCCCAACACAATCTAAGCCCCCTAACTTTCCTGTGCAACTTACAAGAAAAATAATAAAATTGGCACAACACCCCGTCCAACACAAGCTAAGCCCCCTATCTTTCCTCTGCAACTTACAAAAATAATGGCATTAACAGGCCCCCCACCAACACAGGAGAACAAATGCACACCCTACCTTTTGCAGGCTCTGAAAACCGTCAATTTCTCCAAACACAGGATGCGTCCACAACACAGACCACGGTTGCTCCTCTCGAAGTCAACCTTGGAACTGCACGTGGCAAAGTGAACCCAGGCTGCATTGGGGAGGCTTTTTAAACCTTCCAGCACAATGCAGAATGCATCCTGGGTCTTAACAGTTGAGATTTAAAGCAAAATAAACATTCATCTTGCGAGGTTTTTTTATCCCGTGAGGCATTCGTCTTGCGAGGCACCACTGTATTTCTAGGATTATTCTTTCCGCATTTCAAATATTGTACAGTATTGCCAGACCGCGGATATGTGAAACAGCGGATATACTTATCCAGCGGGTAAGAGGGTCCTACTGCATTCCACCTAATCTTTTTCGTGGCCCATAGCGAACCGGTGCATCATTCCAGTCCTCCTCTTATTTTTCCTATCACTATGCGACTTTTTCACTGTCAAGAGGTTTTTTTTAGAAAAAGAAGTACCATAGGTGTGGGAAACGCTACAGCGCCAAGACACAATAGCCCCCAGCCCTCATAGGTCACTCTAGCCAATTTCTGGGCAATCTCTATGCCTTCTCTCCCTCTCTAGTCTGGAGAGTCTCGAGCTGCGGAAGGAGTTCCTATGACCCTTCCGCTCCAGACCGGAAGTGGCATCCTCAGCTGTTCCCGTCGCCTGGGCAACGCGGCGCTGTTTACTACCAAGGCCGGGGCAGGCGAGGAGCGGCGTCCCTTGATGGAGCCGCGGCGGGCAGGTGTGCCAGGCTCCCCAAGGGCCTTCGTCTGCCCCAGCTCGGTGGGCTGTTGCCCCCGAGGGGCAGGAGTGGGGGAAATAGGGAACCGCTTTCGCCCTGGCTCTTTTGGACTACAACTCCCATCATCCCTCGCCAAAGGCCAAGGGGGAGGACGAAGTTCCCCGTCCCTCGGGCACGGAAGGAAGAAGTTGGGAAGGGAGGCTTGGCGTAGAGCGCGGGAGCATGGCTTTTTTTAACTACAATTCCCATAATCCCCTGAGATCAGAAGTCCAAAGGAGATCCTTCCGTCCTCCGTGGAGGTGGGCGAAAGAAGCTGGGGGAGGGTCATGTGAATGAGGGCCAGCCTTTCTACCAGGGGTGGGCCGGAGCTGGCCCTTACATCCCATGGCCCTCGGGATGATGAATAATAATAATAATAATAATAATAATAATAATAATAATAATAATAATAATAATAATAATAATAATAATAATAATAATAATTAATAATAATAATAAAATCAACAAAAATAACAGTAATAATAGGGACACCATGGATCATCGCGTTCAGCTGCTCTCAGAGAGGCCCTGTGGTGGGATTTGAACTCCCAACCTCAGAGACTTAAACCCGTGAGCTATCCATATTCTCATATTTCATATGAAAACCCTTCCCATCGATTCAGACTTCTGCCGGCAGGTTCTTCCAGCAGCACCATCCGGGCCTTTTAGGGTGGCCAGAGGGAGCCGGGCCCCAAAGAGGACCTGCAGGAACCCCCTGCCCCCAAAAGGATGCTGCTGGGCATACAATTGCATGTGCTGACTTTTATGCCCAGGGTCAAAATGAAACACAAGCAAGTGATTAGGTACTTCATTGGTGTCACTGGGCTTGGATCCAGATTCACTGAAGTCCCTTGGTTTTACTGGATTTCCCTTCCGGTAAGAACAAGGTTCCATCGATCCCTCCCTCCCACCTGAGAAGGCAGAGAGCTACTTACAAGGGGGTCAAAATGGCACAATGATCTGTGCTGTGGCTTGAGGAGCTGTGGCTCAGTGTTTCGGGTGGAGAAAGACCCCGGTTTGATCCCCGGCGTCTCCTCTTAGGGCTGGGAACGCATCCTGCCCTGAACCCTTACTGCCAGAGTGGGCGAGACAAGGGCTGGATGGACCAAGGACCTGACTCAGGAGGAGATCTTTTGCCCTGCTTGCCAAAGCAGGGAATGGCTAGTGAAAAATCACACCCCATATTAACTTAACATTTACTCTAATGTTCGTTATTAGTAGTTAATTATCGGTACCACAATGCACTCCTGGTCTTGTTTTGGCAGGGAGAATACGGCTTCTCCATCTCCTGTTTCCAATGATATAACCCAGTGGTCACCAACCTTGGGCCTCCAGATGTTCTTGGACTTCAACTCCCAGAAATCCTGGCCAGCAGAGGTGGTGGTGGAGGTTTCTGGGAGTTGTAGTCCAAGAACATCTGGAGGCCCAAGGTTGGGGACCACTGATATAACCTACAGCAGTGGTTCTAAACCTTTGTTACTCGGATGTTTTTGAACTGCAACTCCCAGAAACCCCAGCAAGCACAGTTGGTGGTGAAGGCTTCTGGGAGTTGCAGTCCAAAACTCATGAGTAACCCAAGGTTAAGAACCAGTGACCTACAGTATTTGGTTTCTATACTGACCCTCTGGTGATGTCCATGTGTATACTGTCTGTTCAGGTGTTTGAAGCATGTACTTGCGATAAACAAACTTTTGGCTTCACAGAACTCTGTGCAGTGCTCTCCTGCTTCATTTCTGACCCCTAGAGCAAATTTTCCAATCATGTTTGGTTCTCCTTTGTTTCCCACTTTTGGGTTCCAGTCACCTATGAAGATATAAGCATGTCTTGCTTTCCTCTTGAAAGCCTGCAACTGATGTTTTCCATTACATCTTTTTCAGGCTTGATAGAGTAGAACGAACAGAGACTTGAATGATGGTTACCTTGAGAAGTTTTCCATGAAGTCTGATTGATATTATTCAGTCAAACTTTGCATTATAATCCCTAGCTATCTGTGCTACATCTTGCCTCACTATTAGAGCCACTCCACTTCTTCTGGGCTTCTCATTTCCAGAGTAGAATATTTTGATATTGTCCGACTCAAAATATCCCGCTCCAGTCCACTTTAATTCACTGATCCCTGAGCACTGAAATGTTGATACATTAAATTTCTTGGTTTATGGTTTCCAGTTTACCTGTGGTTGCAAGACCAGATAGGCAGGATATAAATAGAATAAATATATAAATAAATAAATAAATAAATAAATAAATAAATAANNATACCATACCTTGATTCATGCTTCTCACGTTCCATGTTCCAATTGTATTATGTGCTGTGCAGTTTCAGACTTTCCTTTCACTGATGTGCACTTCAGCCGCTAGACGTCCTTTTGGCTTTAATCTAGTCGCATTGATAGCAACAGCGCTATATGTACTTGTTCTTTGCTGAATGGGAACGATACAAGGGGCAGAGCCATACCCAACCCCCCAAGTAGCTTGAGCACCTCAGAAAGGTCTTTTAAACTTTGGACTCAAACCCAGAAGGGATCCGTTGCCTGACATGGAACTGGAGTCTCCAGCCTCACACATCATTCTGAATGCAACAGGTTGCTGCTCATGGCTCCATGTCTAACCATATTTGAGGGTCAACCCTCCAGGTCTCCAGGTGGGGTTGACAAAGACCCCCTCACCTGAAACCCCAGAGGAGCTTTCTGGCATTTCAGACGACACTGAGTTTGAGGAAAGAGGACTGACATAAGATAAAGCAGCTTCCTGACCTGATTTCCTACTCCAGTTCCATTATTTGTTCCCTCACCTCATTTCTGGCTCTGTTGAGAAGTGTTTGCCCACAACAATTACATGAGCTTTGTGTGTGGGTGGCAGATCGAACCTGGGTGACATCCTGTGCGCTCTGTGGCGAGGACTGTGGAGAGCACACTGAGTGCACGGCCGAGAGAAACAAGGAGCCCGGAGGATGCTTCTGCATGAGAAGGGGCCAGGGTTTATTCAGAGAATGGAATAATAATAATAATAATAATAATAATAATAATAATAATAATAATAATAATAATAATAATAATAATAATATGTAATTGATAATTGATAATTGATAATTGATAATTAATTATAGTTATTATTATTCCTCCTCCTCGCCTTTATTCATTTTCTATCCTGTATGGGGTGGAACAGCGCACAGCGAACAAGATAAAACCGATAGCAAAGGGGTTGATCCTTTCTAGAGTCCCATTCTGTCACCACTGTGAATCATTTCTGAACCTGTCAAAAGAAAAACAGAGGAAGAGAGATCCACGTGGAGTGGTCATGGCAACAGGTTTATTTTCATTTTATTTTTTAAAAATGGAGCCAGATCGTTTGTGGGGATAACGCCGGCCCCTCTGGCCGCTTTCTGCCCTGCTGGCGGCTGGCCCGTTCGCTTCTAAGCAGGTGTCATCCTCTTCCCTTTCTTTTCGTTTCTTCCTCGTTTTTTTCTTCTCTTGCCTTGGAGGCTCCAAGAGGGTCTCTCGTGTGCAGGAGTGGAAAGGCTGGGTGGCTGAGCCCGGGAGGGGATTTTGCTCCTGAAACTGGACGGCCAGAAAACCTGTGCGCAGAAGCCCCTTGTGGACTGTTTTTTCCCGATCCGGTCGGCCCAATGCCTGCTGCCTCCCCTGTCCGCTGCGTTGCTCTCCCTGCATACCTGGGTGTCTAAAAAGGATGTTCTGCCCAGTGAAAAACCATAAAGGGAAAAGTCCCACTACATCAAGCATCAAACCTTGATTAGTGCAACATTCCATAATAAAATGGCAAGGCAAAAGCCGAAAGGAAATTTCTGCGAGAGCCTCCTTGGTGCCAGACCCGAGAAGGCCCCGCGGCTGGCGGCTGTTTTCCTGGCCTCCTTTGGGGTGGCCTCTCCGAGGACCTTCGCCTGGTTTCTCCGCGATGCCAACGAAAGCAGGTCTGCATCCAAAGAAGCCGGCTCAAGGGGCTTCGGTAAGCGAGTCTAGGGGCCTCCCTTCCTCCTGCTCTATCCCCAAACAGGTTTCCTGGCCACGCTGAAGGACAGGGCTCGACACAGATCTCTGGAGTGGATATTTTTCTTCAGCGGTCCCAAGTCCAGCCCTGAGCTTGGATGGGATATTGATCGCATCATCTGAACAGCTTTAAGCGGTCAAGGCATGGAGAGCGAAGCAAGGGGAGCCTGTTCGGAAGGAGGCGAGTGCCTGGCATCCTTTGTGGGCAAAGGCCTTGCCTCGGGAGACAAGGGAAGTCCTGGGCCGGCGTGGCCCCCTTCTCCGCCAGCCGGGGCTGAGAGGGAACGGTGACGGGACCACTGAGGCAGCCCAGTCCCTCGGAGAGCTCCTCCGAAAGGCACCGACTGTTACAGCCAGGGTGGGGGGCCACCAGCTGCTCTGAGAGAGCTCAGAAGAAGGAACACTCTCTCTCTCTCTCTCTCTC